ACACTACCACCCACAAGTTCACCTCCAAGCTACTCACTAGCTTGACTTGGAAATATATTGCTGCTCCTCCAATGTTGTTGGGTCAAACTCCTGGAACACCCTCCATAATGGCACTGTAGGTCTATCTACAGCAACAGACTGCAGATGTTTAATAAGACAGCCCACCTTCTCAAGGGCAACTTGGACGGGCAATAAATGCTGCCCAAACCAGAGATGCCCACATTTCATGATTGAATAATCATAACTTAAAACAGTTGCATTTCAGGCTCTGAATCAACATCAAAAATTCATTAGTCAGTTAGAGTGGCGTAGAATTTCTCTGGACATTCTTCCATTTTTCTGGGAAATGCTGTACCAAGAGCAGGTTTGGGCCCTTAACAGTCATTGATTATAGCCAAATTCAAGGCTGGATTTTAATAAGTAATTTATTCTGCAATTCAAAATGACACCCAAGTGTGGTGACATTGTACACTTTTCATTATACCGAGTGAAGTACCGAGCACAAGTGACAATAATAACTAAACCTAACAGTCCCATGGAGGAGATACAAATGTGTTTTTACTGCAATGGGATATTCTCAGTGACAGGAAATTAAGCAGCATGGTTCCCCATTAATCAGAGACAGGCAGCCAACTAAATAATTAACCAACTAGTTATTGACTACTTTGTGCTAGGGGTTTATCCTTCATGGCCATTCCATAACCCATGCAGGTGACCCCAGCACCACTGGCCACCCCTACAGCTGTGGTTCCGTGATTGGGTTTGTTTCATATTTCTAGCATCCATCGTATTCTGCGTTCTATTGCATGAAATTACAGTCCATAAGGGATGTTTGTTTGTATTGAAAAAATAGGGATCACTTAATAAGTGTTAGGGTGTGTCTGGATACATGGGAAAGACATTTGAATCCAAGGTAATGGGTGTGTTTATTGTCCATTCAGTGGCAGAATCCACTGAAAAGCCCTGAACTTTTCCTAACCTGCTAGCTGAAATGAAGTAAATTTAGTTGGTTCAATTTACACACTGCTGAAGTTTTCAGTGTATTTGAAGCAACCGTCATAAACACTTCACAGAAACGTTTTTTTTTCTTCCTACTATTCATTCATGAGATTTTGGCTTTTCTGGCTTGTATGAGAGGTGACTTGATAGAGGTGTACAAACTGATCAGAGGTATAGACAGAGTGGACAGCCAGAGACTTTTTCCTAGGGTGGAGGTAGCTATTACGAGGGGGCGTGGTTTTAAAGTGAGTGGAGGTAGATATAGGGGAGACGTCAGAGGTAGCTTCTTTACTCGGAGAGTGGTCGGGGCGTGGAATGCATTGCCAGAGAGGGTAGTGGAGTCGGTCTCATTAGGGGCATTTAAGCGGCTATTAGATAGGCATATGGATGATATTATAAGGTAGGGGTGGAGGTTAGATAGACCTTAGGATTAGGGTAAAAGTTTGGCACAACATTGTGGGCCGAAGGGCCTGTACTGTGCTATACTGTTCTATGTTCTATGTATAGTGTTATTGCCCAACCCTAGTTGCCTTGAACGTAATGCCACTAAACCTTAAGGGATGATGATTTGATTCTCTCTTGTTAGAGATGGTCATTGCCTGGCACTTGTGTGTTGTGAAGGTTATGTGCCACTTTTGTCAGCCCAAACCTGGATATTGTCCAGGTCTTGCTGTATTCAGACATGATCAATTTCAGTACTTTTCCATCACAAATGGTGTTGAACATTGTGCAGTCATCATTGGGTATCGTACTTTTGGCCTTATGATGGAGGGAAAATCATTGGTGAAGCAGCTGAAGATGGCTGTGCTGTTAGTTATCTGCCTGAGGAACTCCTGGATGCACGTCCTGGATCTGAGATGACGGATGTTTTTTTCGTTCAATCATGGGATGAAAGCATCGCTGGCTGGTCCAGCATTTATTGCCCATCCCTAATTGCCCAGTATTTAGTTAAGAGTCAGTCACATTGCTGTGAGTCTGGAGTCACATGTAGGCCAGACCAGGTAAGGATGGCAGATTCCTTCACCAAAGGACATTAGTAAACCAGAAGGGCTTTTCCTAACAATCGGCAATGGATTCATGGTCATCATTAGACTTGTAATCCCAGATTTTTATTGAATTCACATTCTACAATCTGCTGTGGTGGAATGATGACCTCCAACAACCACAACCATCTTCCTTTGTGCCAAGTATGGCAAACCAGTGGAGAATTTCCCCCCCAATTCCCATTTACTTATGCTAGAGCCCCATGATGCCACACTCAGGTTAAATGTGAACTGGAAGTCAAGGGCAGTCACTCTCACTTCTCCTCTTGAGTTCAGCTCTTTTTTCCAAGTTTGAACCAAGGCTTAAAAAGGATCAAGACGTATGTGGCCCTGACTGAACCCAAAATGCGCATCAGTGAATGTTAAATGTGTTAATAGTACTGGGATTTGGTTAAATTGCAGAAATGATCTACACAGGAGGCCATTTCACCTATTCTGACCACAAAACAGCTATCCTAAATCCACTTTCCAGCTCTTGGTCTGCAGCTTTATAGATTACACTACAAGTTCGTATCCAAATATTACTAAGATAAAAAGTATACAAAGTTACCAGTTTCTTACCAAAGACTCTGTAGTGACAGTGACAGCCCTTGACAGCAAGGCTGCATTTGACTGAGTGTGGTATTAAGGAGCCCTAGCAAAGCTGGAATCAATGCCATCGGGGCAAACTCTCTGCTAGGGCAGCACAGTGGCTAAGTGGTTAGCACTGCTGCCTCACATTGCCAGGGACCTGGGTTTGAATCCAGCCTCGGGTGACTGTGTAGAGTTTGCATGTTCTGCCCACGTCAGCGTGGGTTTCCTCTGAGTTCTCCGGTTTCCTCCAACAGTCCAAAGATGTGCAGGTTAGGTGGACTGGCCATGTTGAGTTGTCCATAGTACTCAAGGATAAGCAGGCTAAGTGAGTTAGTCATGGGTTAGGGTTGGATCTGGGTCTGGGTTGGTGCTGACTTGATAAGTCAAATGGCCTTTTTCTACACTGTAGGGATCTTATGATTCTATGGTTGGAGTCATGCCTGGCATGAAGGAAGATAGTTTGGTTATTGGAGGTCAGTCATCTCTGCAGGAGTTCCTCAGGGTCAACCATCTTCAGCCTCTTCATCAATGACTTTCCCTCTATCATAAGATCAGAAGTGGGGATGTTCACTGAAAATTGCACAATGTTCAGCACCATTCACAACTCATCAGATACTGAAACAGTCTATGTTCAAATGCAACAAAAGCTGGACAATATCCAGGCTTAGGCTGACAAGTGGCAAGTAACATTAATGCCATACAAATGCCAGGCTATGACAATCTCCAATGTAACCACCACTGTTGATATTCAATGGTGTTACCATCACTGAATCCCCCACAATCAACATCCTAAAGGTTGCCATTGAAATCAGAAACTCAACCATTCCAGCCACATAAACACAGTGGCTACAAGAGCAGGTCAGAGGCTAGGAATACTATGGTGAGTAATTCATCTCCTGATTCTCCAAAGCCTGTCCATCATCTACACTGGCAGCAAGAAGGGTGGGGGAATCCAAAACTACAGGGCATAGGTTTAAGGTGAGAGGAGAAAGATTTAAAAGGGATCTCAGGGTAACTTTGTCACGCAGAGGGTAGTGAATATATGGAATGAGCTGCTAGAGGAAATCATGGAGGCTGATACAATTACAACATTTAAAAGGGTCTGGATTGGTATATGAATAGGAAGGGTTTAGAAGGATTTGGGTCCAATGCTGGCAAATCGGACTAGGTCAGATTGGGATGTCTGGTTGGTGCAGATGAGTTGGGCCGAAGAGTCTGTTTCTGTGCTGTATGACTTTATGACTCTAATAAAACAAAACAAAGTATTACTTACACAGAGAACAACTGCTTACTTCCGAAGTGTGGAGGGATTTAGGTACTCTGGTGCATGTGTCATAAGAAGTTAATATTCACCGACAGCCTGTAATCGAGCAGGCTACTGGGATCCCAGTCTTTATTATGAGTGCACTTAAACATAAAAGTAATAATTTTGTGCTTCAGTTATACAGGGAATTGATGGGACCACATTATGAATACTGTGTGCAGTTTTGGCCTCCTTATTTCAAGAAGGATGTAAATGAATTACAAGTGGTTCAGAGGAGATTTACGTGATTCATACCAAGGATGAGTGGGTTGTTTTCTGAGGATAGGTTGGACAGGGGGAGGGTTGTTTTCACTGGAATTTAGAAGAGTGAGGAGTGAGTCGATTCAAATGTATAAGATCCTGAATGTTCTGGACAAAGGTGGTCATGGAAACGATGTTTCCTCTAATGGGTGAGTCCAGAACTAGGGGGCACTGTTTTATAATTAGGATTTGCCCTTTCAGGATGGAGTTGAGGAGAAATTGTTCTTTCACAGGGTTGTGCAATTTAGGAACTCTGCCTCAGAAGGCAGTGGAGGCAATGTCGTTGAATATTTTAAATACAGAGATGCATAGATTCTGGTTAAGCAGAGGAAGCAAGGATTGTGGCAGTAGTTGGCAATTTGGAATTTGAAACAAATGGAGCAGCCGTGATCTTATTGAATGGCAGAGCAGGTTCAAGGGGCTAAGTGAGCTATTTCTGCTCCTATTTTTATTGTTTATATATTCGCAGTCTATACATTTCAGTCTCATACTAGAGCACGTGCTTACAAATTAGAGCATTAAATATGTCCACTGAAGTACTTTTGTATTACTGCTCTCATTTTAATTGTGTAGTAGGCATGGTTAGAAGCTAAAGAAATACTGGATTCTAAAATTAAAACAAAACAAACTTGATACCTAAAAAAATTAGACAAATTTTAAAATAATTTGATTTTTTTGCCTTGATTGGATTTAAATTAGGTTGCAGCGGGAAAAGAAGTGATCAAATGTCCTATGCCACCCAATTCTCCCCTGACAACATGGTTATTGTAATCATCAATCACTTCAAACTGTAAAGATCTGGCTATTTAACATTTATGTACCTGTGCCCCTGTTGCAATTTCATCTGCAGCTTCATTCATTACACCCAAAGTCTGGAATGCAAATACGCACAGCTCCCGCTCGCATACTGTTGGCTGTAATAAATAAAACAGCATAAGTAATGTATAAATAAAATTTGAAAACATCACAAAGAGTATAAACACATAGAACTTTGAGAGTAATGACAAATGACATAATCGGACTAAATCAAATCTACTTTTCCCAGGGTCCTCGTGTAAATACAAGGGAGGTGATTGCTCTGCAGTGGTAGTGTCCCTGCCTTTAAGTCAGAAGGTCTGGGTTCAGATTCTGCCTGCTACAGGATGTGCAATAACATATACAAGTAGTTGCTTAAAGCTAATTATAAATAAAAGTAAATGCTTCTTTTAAGGAGCATTTAAATATCAATTAGTTTAATTAATTTGTTTCAGTTGCTCAAAAAAGTAGAAATAAGCTTATTTTGTTCAAATTTTCAGGAGTCTTCTCATGCCCATTTTATGAGGACATAAGCATTGTGCAGTCCAGCACTCCAGTAAGGATTGGACTGACATGAGGTAGACTTTTCCTAGCCTGGTCAGGGGGAGGTGGGGTAATGTTTGGAGGTGAGCATGCCAGGATGTGGAATGGCTCTCTGATATATTCCCACCACTGGGGATGTTTCCCAGATGCAGACATGGAGACTGACTGGCTGTTTGCTGAATGGAAGCAGGCACCCAATTAGAGGCAATTTAATGATGTAGTAGCTTTGCTGGCAGCACAAAAATCCTCATAGAAAAACAGATGTGACTGAGTTACTACAGTCCCAGGCGGGGGGTGGTGTGGGTGGGGGGGTGTGGCGTGTGTGGTGGTCACAGATAGGGGAGGTCAGCCCCAGAGACCACAAAGAGCCATCTGGTGGATTTTCATTCCAATCCAGAAGAGATACGAGCAGGATTAGGCCATTCGATCCATTGAGTCTGCTCCATAATTCAATCATGGCTGATATATTTCTCAACCCCATTCTCTTGCCTTCTCCCCATAGCCAACAATCCCCTAACCAATCAAGAACCTATCTATCTCTGTCCTAAATACATTCAATGACTTGGTCTCCACATCCCACTACAGCAATAAGTTCCACAGATTAACCACCCTCTGGCTGAAGAAATTCCTCCTCATCTCCATTCTAAAGGGTCATTCCTTCACTCTGAGGCTGTGCCCACAAGTCCTTGTCTTTCCTACTAGTGGAAACATCTTCTTCGTGTCCACTCTATCTAGGCCTCTCAGTATTCTGTAAGTTTCAATGATGTGCCCCCTCATCCTTCTAAACTCCATTGAACATAGTGCAGAGTTCTCAACTGCTCCTCATATGACAAGCCCTTCATCTCTGGGATCTTTTTGTAAACCTCCTCTGGACTCCCTCCAAGGTCAGCACATCCTTCTTTAAATATGGGGCCTAAAACTACTCACAATATTCCAAATGCAGTCTGACCAGAGCCTCAGTAGTGCATCTCTGCTCTTGTATTCTAGTCGTCTTGAAATTAATGCAAACATTGCGTTTGCCTTCCTAACAGCCAACTGAACCTGCGTGTTAACTTTAACAGAATCCTGAACTAGGACTCTCAAGTCCTCTTCTGCTTCGGATTTCTGAAGCCTTTCCCATTTAGAAAATAGTCTATGCTTCTAAACTACTACCAAAGTGCATAACCTCACACTTTCCCACATTGTATTCCATCTGCCACTTCTTTATCCACTATCCAAGTCCTGCTGCAGCCTGCCCGCTTCCTCAACACTACCTGTGCCTCCAGCTATCTTTGTATCATCTGCAAAATTAGCAACAATGCCCTTGGTTCCTTTCTCCAGATTGTTAATGAATAATGTGAATGTCCCAACATGACCCCTGTGGAACTCCACTGGTCACCGGCTGCATCCTGAAAATGACCCCTTTATCCCCGCTGTCTGCATTATGCCAGTTAGCTAATTCTCTCTCCATGCCAATACTTTGCCCCTAACACTATGGGCTCTTATTTTATTTAGCAGCCTCCTGTGCAGCACCTTTCCTTCTGGAAATCCAAATAGATCATGTCCACTGGCTCTCCTTTGTCTAACTTGCTCATTAGCTCCTCGAAGAATTCTAACAAATTTGTCAGGCATGACCTCCCCTTGATGAAACCGTACTAACTCAACCCTATTTTACCAAATATATCAACTATGGTCAAATGGTGGAGCAGACCCGAAAGGCTGAATGACCAATTTCTGCTCCTATGTCTTATAGTCTAATCACTCTGAAACTTTGTAGTGAGAAAGCAAGGAGGAAGAGCAACAAAGGGGTTGGGAGGAGGGGGAAGTTGACGAATCAGATGTAGTCACGATATCTGTAGATACAAATGTGCCTAACCAGGAATGCACGAGTGTGATCACTGATACAGCCACATACAGCTGATCTAAGGCAGTGCTTGCATCTAATGCACCAGTTGTCAACACTGTGGTCATTCCCAGCACAAAGCAGTCCTACAGTTAACAACACATCCTTCTCACTGATGCCTATTGGTCTTCTGCTCATCTTGCCTTACAATTTCCCTCAAAGATGAAGGCCACTTTGTAGGCAGTAAGCAATAATAGGGATGATGGACAATGAAGCTATGAAATAAAATTTGTGGTGTATAAATGTTGACAATAAAGGTGACAATATATCAATTTTAAACAACCTAGTTTAAACACAATGCACTTCTCTTCCTTTTCCTCTAATTCATAAATGAAGAAATCCCTGTGGCTTCAGCAGAGTTCCACAGGTTTCTTCCTCCTGTCCACACTAACATTGTTGAATTGATGTGAAATCCCAGCTGATTCACTGATGTCCTTTAGGTAAATAAACCTGCTATTCTTAGCCTAAGAGTCTAGAGCCTTATCAACACGGTTCACTTTTTACTTCCCTTTGTAGTGGCCTAGCAAGTCATTTAATGCATTAAAACTGCCTGTTTGCTGCAGATCTTCAAGGCGAAGCTTCATTGTCATCTTCCCTAGGCGACTACGGACAGGTAACGACACCAACACACAATGATTATAGAAACCCTACAATGGGGAAACAGGCTATTCAGCCCAATAGGTCCATAGTGCCCCTCTGAACAGCATCCCGCCCAGATCCATCCCCCTACCCTTTCCCTGTGACCCTGCATTTCCCATGTCTAATCCACCTAACTTACAGACCCTTGGACACTATGGGCAATTTAGCTTGGCTAATCCATGTAATCTGCACATCTTTGGACTGTGAGAGGAAACCGGAGCTCCTGGAGGAAACCCACGCAGACACAGAGAGGACGTGCAAACTCCACACAGACAGTCGCCTGAGGGTGGGATCGAACCTGGGTGCCTGGCACAGTGAGGCAGCAGTGCTAACCACTGAGCCATCATGACACCACAAAAGTGAAATATGGCCCTGCCCTGAACTACAAACAGTGTGAGGGAATCTGTGGTGTTGTAAATGGAGCATATGGAAGTAAATTCCACTCATTTTCTGCATACAGTTCCAACTGAGTCTAGATTTGTATGATAGACAGGGGTGGGTTCAGATGTACATCAAAGTTTTCCTGATTCATTGTAAAAAGTGGAAGTTAGATTTCATAATATTTGCATAGTTAGCTAATTTTCATTTGATAAATTATATCACCAATGTCTCTCCCAAATAACAGCTTTACCTCAGAAATATCTACCTATTCAAACAGGTGTGTTGCAAAACAGACATGTAAAAGCTCAACAGCATTACATGTAATACCAGAAGTATCCAGCAGTTGGCAGCATTAGCAAATTAACGACAATGGTTCCACAATATACACAACTGTCAAGAAGATATACGACTTTAAATATCACATTTTAGTTTCGGCGGCTGCTTTTGCATATTAAGTATTTATTAAAAAATAGACTTTGCAGACTCTAAGTTGGCTGCCAGATCTTTTTTGCCATTCTAACTTTGAGTTTTAGAATCATAGAGTACAGAAGAGACCTTTTGGCCCATCGATTCTGCATCGACAAAAAACTACTCTAAATCTACACGTGTCCGACTTTCGAGCTCTCAGCCCACAGCCTTGTCAAGTCTCTGGAAGTTTACAGCATGAATTACAAAAGGGACACGTCTAGATGCTCCTGGGACTTTCACACTTTCTAATATCAAGGATTACTTTCAGATTAATGGGAACACTTTTCAAATATTAACACAATACTTGTCAAACACAAGAAAACACAAAAAGATCAGCCATGATCTTACTGAATGGCAGGGTGGTCTCGAGGGGGGCAGATGACCTACTCCTGCTCCTATTTCTTAGAAACTCCACTGACATCTTCATTGGAACAGAATGCAAATCTACCTTGTGAAGGAACAAACAGGTACATTTTTTTTTAATTCATTCATAGGACGAGGGCATTGCTGGCTCAGTAGCATTTATTGCCCATCCCTAATTGCCCAGAGTCAATCACATTGCTGTGGGTCTGGTGTCACATGTAGGCCTGACCAGGTAAGGATGGCAATTTCCTTCCCTAAAGGACATAAGTGAACTAAATGGGTTTTTCCTGACAATTGATTCATGGTCATCATTAGATTGTTAATTCCAGATATTTATTGAATGCAAACTCTACCATCTGCCATCTGCCATGGCAGGATTTGAACCTAGGTCCCCACAACACTATCTGGGTCTATGGAATAACAATCCAGCAACAATACCACTTGGCCATCACTTCCCCTCAGGTGAGGAGTGGGAATGCAATGGTTGTCAAATGGGGTTCTGGCTATATAAATGCTGCTACCAACCCCTCTTTCTATGATTTTAAAATTAAATGCTCTTTTAATTTATTCACGTGAGATGTGGGTATTGCTGCCTTGCCAGCATTTATTGCTCATCCCTCGTTGCCCTTCAGAAGGTGGTGATGAGCTGACTTCTTGAAATGGTTTACCAAATCAAACCAAAATTTGATTGTAGCCCCAGAACAGCATTGTAACAAAAACAAGTCAGAAAGGAAACTTAAAAATTTAAACTAAAGCATCATTGTGGGGAAATCCTTCATACTACTTTTAAATAAAACAATAATCGGGTTAGACAGTCCTTGGCAGGACACTGTTATAAAACAAATCAAACAGTCAACACAAACTTATAGAACTGGAACTTATCAAAATCAAATCACTATTATTATCTGGGGTGACAATGCAATTGAACTCTCTATTCTGCCACTGGATGGGCATGCTCCTTTTTAATGGACAAGCAAGTGCCTATGAAACCAAGGAAGAGGGGAAGGCATTATGATCCTGTCCACAGCACACTGCCTGGACCTGGAGACCACCACTTTGGCCGAGCCCAGGAGCAGGCCCATGCGAAGTTGAATTATCTCTTTAAAGCCTTCTTGAACTCTACAGTTTTTGACACTGGTAGCCTGGCTGGAGTCTCTTCAATCATTCCTACATTATCACCTCCTGAACTCCACAACATTCAAAGAACTCTGTGCAGAAGCCTTTAGGACTCTGAGTGGTGTGAGCTATGGTGAAATTTGTGGCAGAATCAGATATCTCAACGTTGGGAGAATCTCACTTGGCAGCAGCGAGTTGCCAATTAAGGGGATAATAGCTTGTTAAGTGCCTTATTAATGCCACAACTTGTCTCATTAATATTCAGCTTCCTAAATTACCAAATGTACAAAACAAGTTAGACACCAAGCAATTTCAAGATGGAAGTCAGAATTGCAACCTGGCAACTTCAGCTTCCAAAGGACCTCCATGTTGGACACTGGGCACCGACATTTCAGGGTACACATATGCACTTCACATCCACAGTCACTGGCACCTGACAAGCGCCAGCCTCTAAAAACCCTATGGCATATCTTCAATTCAGGTAAGTTATGCTTCTGCACTTCAGTGCTGTACCAGCAACCATCATTATAATGCTGCTGCAAAGACACTGTCTGCTCAGGGGCATACATCCAACTCATGAACTGGACCAGGCTGCATTTCCAGGCTCTTCACTTATTGTCATAGCACTCATTCAATCTGACACTATTTGGATGCTCACAGTGTCCTTGACTTGCATTGCTTTGCCTCCTCAGTCAGAGCTACCAGGCTCATATGACTTCAGTCTTGCCTGCCTGTTCAGCACAGGCTCAAAGACCAGAAGCTTGTCATGATTGTCAAGAATCCTCAGTCAAGTTAAGTATTCATCCAAGAGGTCCTGGCACTCTAAATCACAGGCGGCTTCCATCACTAGTCCAGAGGCTTGGATGCAGCCAATCAACCATTCGGGACGGTCAGAATCAGGATCTCTCCACCCAAGGAGCCAAATGTTGGTCTGCCACCACCAGTTTTGCCTCTTTCTACCCTAGGTCCGAAGTCTCGTAACACCAGGTTATTGTCCAAAAGGTTATTTTAAAATCACAAACTTCTGGAGCACTGCTTCTTCAAATAAACTTGTTGGACAATAACCTGACGTTGTGCGACTTCTGACCTTGTCCACCGCAGTCCAACGCTGGCACCTCCACATTTTTTGCCCTAGCATAAGCTGTTTTCATCCTGGAATGATAAAGAGGTAGGTATTAAGGAAGATGAACATGGGTGGCAGAGCTGTTTCTTTTTGTTACTTTTAGTGCAGGTGGGGAGGAGTCTAGAGCGAGTGAGTAGGCAATACAGAGAACATGCAGGATTCGTGGTGTCAAGGGTTGGGTGGATGAATAAAAGAGCAAGGGAAAGTGTTGCAGGTAGTAGTGAAGATGTTAGATCATGAGCCTTGGTGGGAGGTCGGTACAGCAGCAGAGATAAAGTGAGTGTGAGGAATTGGAGAGGAGATGGTGTCACTTATGCTGGTCAAGTGGAGAAAGTCAATGGCTTCCTTTCTGCATTGCTGTGCGTTCTTCCAGATGGCTGAGACTGCATTGACTTGGGTGGTAACCTCAGATCAGGCTGGCATTTTCTGGTGTCACAGCCTCCTCTGCTGGTCCTGCGCAAAGAGAAAGTTCCCATGTCTGCATCACTCCATCAGGTAGGACCACCAAGTCCCGCTTTACAATTTTCCCTGTCTACCATGTCTGGTGCAAATGTCAGGAACTATGCAGAGCAGCTCTGGACTGACAGTGTTTGTCCTTGGGCACAATGGGGGTTGGGGACGAATGTTGGTCTTTATCGGAAAGCTGGTGAGTGGTGAGTTGTCTCCAGAAACATGCATGGTAAGTTGAGAATAGAATTGGATGTCAGGAGGGTATGGTAGTTCGTTGATGTGGAGAGCTGGTAAGGTTCACTGAGAAGTCTTACTGGACTTTGTAGCGAGAATCCTTCCAAAAACTCGCATTTAGTTAAAAAAAGCACAAGTTTCATCCCTTTGTCTTTCTTGAGCTTTGGCTTTTTGTGTCTCCCCTGCTCTCTTCACCTCAGCATTAAGGGCCAGGCCTTTAGCTGTCTAGGCATGAAACTGACATTCTACTAAAGTCTCTACGTGTCTTTTTCCTAAAGCAAACTTTTGACTAACCATTCATCCTGTTATTCACTTTTATTGCTCACTCTCAATTACTGTCTGATTGAACACATGAGAAGCACTT